AAAAGATCATTCAGTGAGAGGTTAAACGTTTTGGTTCAATTAGGCCAAATGACTAGTTGATGTTGAATTATCTTAAACATGATTTGGAAATTTTCCTAATATTTTTCAGAATTGTCCTGATTACCGAAACTTTTGTAATGCAATTTACATTTTGAAATGCAAATCACATATCATCAGAGTCGTGCATTGCATCCCTAATGCATGAATTGTTATTACTTCTTTGTAGCATCCAAACCACTATAATGTCCAACTGCTATTCCATCTATGCAGTTGTGGAAAATTATCTTCAGAGCTGGATGTAATTAATATTATGCACACATCAAATGCACATGACATGTTTTACTAATCAATATTAATTCATTATAAATGTATGCCAAGCATATTGAGTCGATTGTTTTGCTTCTAAATGTCAGATGGGGATGTTTGCCTCATACTCAGCCTTTACCTCTTGTATTTTATATTGTAATGATTTGGAAAATATTCATTGATTTATGTGAGATGTAAATGACATGAAACTACACCACATGAAATAAAATTGTCAAAGAGTACAGGTTGCAATTGATCACACTTATTTTGCTTATTAAAAGATTGACTACAGTAGGTCGAGGACCAGGATTGTCAAACAATCTTTGATTTTAAAAAAATTGTTCTAATTAAATTATTTTGTTATTGCATAGTGTATGAAATATGGGTTAAACCTCAGACATTTCCTGGAGTTGTTAGCACCCTTCTAGTTCTCACCCTCCCCTTGGAGAGTAGCACAAGGATTTTATAGTCATGTACGATTCCTCTTTCCAGGGAACAGGGAGGAAATGGCGCTGATTATACAGAGCTTGTAGGTTGAACCACATGCAAATAGCAGAAAGCTGACGGATGGTCTCGGCTTTCTCTGCCAAGAAACGATAGCATATAGATAGATACCATCAATCAGGAGAGAGGGATGGACAGGGGAGATAGAAGAGAGAGATGGAGAAATAGAAAATGTGTTAAGGAGAGGGTTCAAGGAGGAAAGAGAGCTGGATAAAGGGATAGGGAAAAAGTGATGAGGGAGGAAACAGAATCAGATGGATGGAAACAAGTTCCAGAAAGAGTGAGAGAAGAAAGAGGACCAGATGAATCGAAAAGGGAAATAAATTACATATACAGAAAGGGATGAGGGAGAAAGAGGATCAGAAAGATGGGTAGTGGAAAAAGATAGTGATGAGATAGAAAAAGAGAAGCAGGTTTGGAGAAGGATATTAGGAGAGAGGGGGAAAGACAGGAAAGCGGTGGGAGAGGGAGAGAGAGACAGCACGGAGAGAGAAAGTTTGATCATATGCAGAGGGAAAGAGATAAATTATGCACTGCCTGTCATTAATCTTTTATGCTAGAACGTCATTCAAAGAATCTTGTCAATAACAAGGGTCTACCAGAAGTTTAGGGGATCATTTTCCCTTGCACACTCTTTCTATCTCTCTCTCTCTCTCTCTCCTTCCTTTTTAGTGTATAGACTTGAAATACTGAATCAATAAGGACATTGAATATTGAAGGTGGTAGGGAGGAAGAGAGAAAGGAAGGGATGAATAAGAGGATGGGAAAGGAGCAGACGTACAAAGGGTAACACGAAAGAGATAGATAGAAGGGAGATGCAGTAGTCTGCATACACAGACTCTAATTTGACACTTAACCACAATTCTTAAAGTCTTGAGCAGAGCCTAGCTCTGTCAGTCTCTGGCTGTGTCAAATACAGAGCCTATGCAGAATGCTGTCAGCCTAGTCTCACAGTGCAGACACCGTTACACACAGCAACTGGCAAGGGTTTGTGTCAGCAAACTAGAGATAAGTGATGGAGAGCTGCTCTGCTGGAGCAGGGCATCCGTAAATGTCAGAGCTGTCCATGGTTTGTTTGATTAGAGATTTTAGGGGGATAATTGAGGTAGGTGAGAGAAGACAATTAGAAGAAGATGAGTCTGTGATGCTTGGTAAACATGTCCTCCGTATCTCATCAGTATAATATCATCAGTATAGCAGGGGAGAATATTGCATGGAGCAAATAGGCAGCATTTGTTTATAGCCGAAAAGGTGAGAGCTACATTTCCTCCCAACATCTAAATCATTGTAAAGAGGAGAATTGCTTTTTTCTTCTTCAAAGATGCGGCTGCGATGGTTGGTAAACTTTAAATCTCCCCAGTGTGATGTCATCAGCATAGCAGGAGAGAATATTACATCATGCAAAATGGCAGCATTTATTTACAGTGGACAGAATGTACAGTAGTTTATTACATTTCCTCCCAACATCTACGTGGCACAGTATATCTCTAAAGGAATTTATGATCAATTGCTGTCAGTTTTCTGTAGGTGCTGTAGCATACATAGATTTTTTCTTTGCTGACGCTGTTATCTGCATCTGATGTAGAAGTATTTTTCTCCATATTTGATAAACGGTAGTCTGGAATGGTGCCTTATTTGGGGCTTACTCTATATTAAATCAGGAAATCCTCCTTTGTTCCAGTGTCCACAGTGTGGCACACCAATGTTGGTGATGTCTCTTTGAGGATCCTGTTATCTTCTTTTGATGTGGAAGTATTTTGTGTCAGGTATGATAAGCAGTAGTTTTTATTGGTGCCTAACTTGGGGCCTACTGCATTTGAAATCATCCCTTGTTATTACGGTGTTCTCATACTCGAACTATCGTAGCTTCATGATAATATTTGAAGACCCCTTCCTGCTTCTGATTCCTCCCTCCTGGTTCTGATTTCCCTCCACATGAAAGTCCCTCCAGTCATCTGATATGATGAAATGTGGAATGTAGTCTGTCTGCTGTATCCCTTTCACTTCCAGAATTTGAACTCCTTGTTGAAGCATTGGATGTGACTAAGTTTGTGATATATTGATTGATTATTCAAATTTCAGTTGTGAATGCTCTCAATGGTTGAAGGAGAGACGGTCTGTGTATTCTATCAATTATAATCCACTGAAAACAACATGTTTATTCTAGAATGACTTTATCCTTTTTCAGCTTGGGATTTATCAACAACTTGAAATTCCCAAATCACTGCCTGGTTCCTGAAAATTGCTTCCTTGCCTCTTATCAAACCTGGAGGTGTTTCAGCAATGTGCTTAATCTTGTTCATGTTGGATTATCTAGCTTAATGTTGACAACCCTCAGGCAAACTTTTCTTTGGTGTCCAGATTGTGTTTCAATGTCATGTACATGAACAAATCTAATTTACAGGCCACGGTATGTGACCAAACCCGGACGGTAACTCCCTACAGTAATTGCATTATGCTGTAATATCCACAGAAATGTGTAACTTCAGCATGGCTTTGCTTTAGCCTTGAGTGATACAATTCCCTTCCTAGCTAACATTTCATCCCTTCAGGCTCAAGCTAGCTATGTTGTTTTTCCTCATAAACAAATATTCAGACATCTCAGATGTCACAAGTCCGCTACATTTCATGAATGTCCGTATGTAATATAAACACAAGGACACCATTCGGTTTTTTTTTACCCTGTGGTAATGTTCTCTGTATCTAATTAGACAACGTCCTTCCTAGGTCCTGAAACTGAGATTGTTTTCTGAGTGACAGATGGGGACTTTGAGCTTGTCCCTTGGATTTTCAGTTATTTTTGTTAGAGTATGTTTTCTACCAGGGGCCTTTGGTATCATATTTTTTTTATAGATAAAGACAATGTACAGCTACATCTAGGAAGTTCAATGGTAATCTAGGAAAATATTGCTGGTCAGGTAATGCCATGAACGAATATTAAGATTATCTCAATTGTACACAGAAATCAAGCATTTATTTCTGGCAGTGGAATAGCCTGTGCCTAAATATTTAGGGGGCACTAGGCATCAGGGGGAGGAGGTATAAAATGGGAATTTACATGAATACTGTTTAAGGAGAGGGTGTGGAAGGGGTTGTATTGTCTTTCTTTTTGTTCCCACTTTCCTTTCCTAATCTCCCTGTTTTGCTCTCCCGCCTTATCTCCCCTGCCCCTCCCCCCCCCCCCACCCCCAGCTGCTCAATCGAGAGCACATGCCCCCTGTAGCTATACCACTGTTTAGAGATATAAAATCTGCAAAAAGTTGCGCGATGATGCAAAAGCACCTTTCATGCAACACCATTTTCATTCACAATTTTAATCTCCAAACATATTGAGAATGAAAAAAAGAAGAGATTTGTATGCTTTACCCTAGAGTCAAACTTTATTTTTCCCTTGTGCTTCCCCATTAAGCCTGCCTGACCTAGTTTCATTTGATTTATGCTGATGATTATGGTATGTAATTGGAACAAATGTCACTCCCAGCATACATGCTTTACAGGCATTAAGAAGTGGATCATTAGTCAATAGTTAGGGGCTGTTTCAAATTATGCCTTCATTGGCAATTAATCTTAGAATGACAACTCAGGTGCCTGGTACTCCTTTTATCATTTACAATTGTCTTTGCTGATGCGATTATATATTTTGATCGTGTCTTTGCCACTGTATTTGCCCCTAATTTTTTTCATATTTCCTTTTTTACTTTCTTCATGATAGTTAAACTATACCTGTCTGTAAAACTGAGTCATCCTTTGGCTAAATGGCTATTCAAAACTTATACTTTCGGAAGAGCCAAGAATATATCAATCTTTTTCTCACGAGCAGAATGTGTTTGTCTGTCTTCTAGAACAGCAATCGTGTTAGTTTGTTCCTCTTTCTGTTTTCTCAGTCCAATAATACATGTACATTGTCAAATCAGTCTACTAAAACCATACATTACATTTAAATGGGACTCGATACATAATTTCTTTTTACTTTCTAATTACGTGAAAGAAATGTTGTGCAAATTATTATTTGAATACCGTTCTATGCTGTTTCTTTTTCTATGCTGATGAACCACATGTACGATACATAATCTGACAATGCAAAATTAATCTTACATGTATTTCTCTCCATTCATCTACCCCTTTTCAAACTATATATTTATGCATTATGATTTTATCTTATTTCTTGTATTTTTTTCTTTACTAGGTTACTGATTCTGAATGAACAAGCTAAGGAAGAGAACCTAAGAAGCCAATGTCTTGCCCAGATACAGAGTTTGACCCGGAGGATTGAAGACTTGCCAATCACTGACAATGTAAGTTTAACTTAAGCTGTACCTTACCTTAACTTGACCTTAACCCTAACCCAAGAACTTTTCTCTATTGTGGTGGTACATATTGCCCAGCAGCATAACAAGCGAAACAATTTTTCCCTCTGGCAAAAGCTTCGTTAGACTTTTGTTGTGAGGTTGAGGGAATGAATCCTGTAGCGCTCTAATTAATCGCATGTATAATGTAGTTGTCTACTATCTGTGAAACGTTTCAGAGTACCAGTCCCTTTGTTGTTGTTGTTATTCAAATACATTTGAAATATTCATTAACCATATTGCAGAATTCAGCTCGATCTTAACTCAAGAGTGAATTGATGACTGGATAAACTGGGCATCAGGCAAATTGAACTCAAAACAACCCACATTTTATGTCATGCTATTAAAAAGGTGAACATGGCTGTGGAATTTGTTTTGCAGTTAAGAAATGTAACCACACACAAAGAGAAGAAAGAAATCTCCATTTTATCCTGTTGTTTACATGGTACAAGGACAGAAATAGAATCCCTGTATGGAATGAATACATCCACTACATGTGCATGTCATGTTTGGTATTCCAACGGACGGACGCAATCCATCAGGAAGGTATTCAGGAATTGACGCAAGTCAGAGATATCATCTATGGAGAGCCAGAAGGGCTTTACAGGGAAGGTTGGGCTTTGTTAAAGAAGAAAAAATTATTTGTGAGCTTTTTCATTCTTTTCATGTAAAATGTGGATGAATATCAAAGAAAAGTATTGCTCTTCAGATGCTCTCATATTTCAAATATTACAAGAACCGGATGAAGTGTTTGGACCAAACTTTCATGTCACATGTTTGTGTAGTCCCTTATACACATTTCTGTGTACAGTGCTTGTGTCTTTCAACAAGATTGAATCAGTTTCTTGTCATGATGATGACTCTAAAAACCTCACGGTATGCGCCAATTCTGTTGTGCCACATAATCAACCTTTTCAGACTACTTTCATACAGTTTCTTACATATTGCAATCGCATGATGACCAAAACTCAACTTTAGTTAACTCCATGAAACATCATATGAATTAATGCCCTTCTGGCTCTGAGCGGACGATATGATACGTAATAGGTTAGCAGGCGGATGAATGTCTCTCTCTGAGAGGTATGTAGAGTGTCTGAAGAGTCCTTGATGAAGAATCTTAATATACTTGCATGAGATAAGACAGACGCCATTCTAGACGACGTGTAGTACTGTAGTGTCATATCAAACTACACATTTCTAGTCCTGACATTGCGTTGTTGGTCATGAATGCAATATGTCTGGAACCCTGCATTATACTGTTTGTTGTAAACTCTAGAAATTGGATGCTGCTTCTACAAAACTCTTATTATTATGAAGTAATGCACAATTTTCTCTTTTGTTCCGAACAAACTTTATGGAAACTGTTCACAACTTGCAAATACATGATCCTGCATAACACAAGTGTTACTTTTGAACAAAATTTGCTGGCTACAAGATAGAGATATGATGAAGATTACTTTATGTTGATTTTCAACAATTATGTCATTTCTTTCTTTGATCCTTAAAGTAGCGATTTTGTTATTAATGCTTGATTCTCATGCAAATTTGAGATTGCAGTGATAAAGAATGATATATTTTTAACCAATCACAGTACTCCCTTCAGACTGACATGTCACGGCGCCAGCTGGAGTACGAAGCACGCCAGCTGAGAGAGCTGATGCAAGAGAGGCTTGGATCTATGGAGGACATCGCAGCAAGGCACCGCATGCGCATGCAGAGGCTTAGTGCAATCGAGTATGAGCTCAGGCAGGTTCAAGAACAACAGCAGCAACATCAGCAGCAACAACAGCAGCAGCAACAACAGCAACAGCAACAACAACAACAGCAAATGTTAGCCAAAGTGTGGGAGCAGGGTGCACAGGTATGTAATAATAAGCCTATAAGTCTGTGTTGGTTTCTGTCCCCATGTAGAGAATAAAATACTGCAATCTTATCTAGACTAGCTTAAATCTGTTTCACAATGTGTTTTGCCACAGAAGAATTCAGTTTTGTTGGTTTTTTGATGTATTTTGATATTCCAAATTGACAAGAGACTTTGTCGCCTACATGTTTAAAGAAAAATAATATTTTTATTTGTCTACAATGATATCTTAAGCATTATGTGGATATGATTTTTATCCTAACATTTATGGAGGTGTTATAACAATTAGATGTGTGGTATGAAGTTTGGTGTCAAAAGGGCAGAGTCCAAAGATTACCCATTATCAGTGAGATGTTTATTAAGTGTAGGATAAAGATCTTTCAACTGTTGAATCATATTTATAATTCTGGAACATTAGAGAACATTACATGTATATTGGATTGTTCTTTTCTTTTCTTTATCTTGACATACAGGCCTCCCTTTCAGATGATGCATTAAGGTTAGTGTACAGCCAGAGCCTGAATGTAGCAGGCGGTGGTACAAACAGCAAGAGATCATCTGCAAGCTCCCATGACTCTAACTCTCATGGCAGTCCTGCATCCCATCGGCGAGCTGCCAGCCTAGTCCTGGATGCTAAAACAGACTTTGGTCTCAGCGGTTCCCCACCGAATGGTCTAAGACCAAACCATTCCTCTTCCAAACAGACTGCTGCCACAGACAGCCCCTATATACACTTGTCAAACGATGGATCAGTCCAAGCAGGTGGCATGCAACAGCAGCCACAGCAGCAGCAACAAGCGCTACCACCTCAACAACAAGGCCAGCAGGCAACGGGTGTAGCTCCACCATGTCCACCAAACTTCTTCCATGGGGCGTGGCCGTTCCTGAACAACCTGCAAGCGGGCGGAGCACTGAATGGAGAAACTATGGAACAAGTCCTGGGGAAGATACCCTTTGGTGTTGCTGGGAGTGGTAATGGTGGTGGGAGTGGTGCAGGAAGTGGAAACGGGGAGCTGGAAACGTCTAGCGTCATGAGTTTTGGATCATCGTCTTGCTCCGGTACCGGCACGAGGAAAGGATCTGCTGCAGGTGCTAATAACCAACAACTCGGTGTCAAGGTAATATGTTTGAAAGTACATGCTTCTTATTTAGGTTTGGTGCTCATGAAAATGCTACTCTGCAATATGAAAGTATTGAAATTGCTATCGCAATTAATGATTTGCCTTCAATTTCACTTTAATAGATACACTAGATTCATTTCCTAGGTTGAAAGAAGGAATGTTAAATGTACTTTATATGTCTCTGTTATGTTTGATTTGCATTGTATGATGAAGAATTAAAAATAATTTCTTCTTCTTCTTCTTCTTCGCTATAAGTACAGGCCACCCACGGGTGTATTCTTGTACTGTTCCTTATTGTGGTACATTACTACTACATGCCTCATAGTTCTCCCAAATGTTACTGTCTATATTTGTACTAAAACGTTCCTATGTCACAATGTAAAAAACATGAACAGATATGACTCTATTCTGGTATTCTTTCTTTCCTGTATGTCCTGTTATTTTTTTCCCCATTTATTACCATGCTTCATACTACTATACCCTTACAATGTAATCATATTTCTTTTATTTTACATCACTTCCTTTAGGTTGGGTTTGTGTACTCCTTGCTCTCCATGTTAGGGTCACATGACCGAGATGACATGGCAAGCACACTACTTATGATGTCAAGGTCTGCGGATAGTTGTCTAGCTATGAGGCAATCGGGTGAGAAATTTAAAAAATCTGAGACTGTATGTGAGCTAGAAGCATTGTAGGTTGATGTAAAATTGTGTCAATGAAGGAGGAATCCCAAAGGCCAGGACCATTATTGGTAGTGAATTTGATCAGAGACCAATATTCTTATTCCATAGCCCAAGTTCAACCTAGCTGAACTTGGTCCCCCACCTCATGGAAAGCCAAGGGTTAATATCTATGTTCTATGTTAACTTATTTTGGGATACTGCAACAAAATGAAAGAGCTAATTTATTTTGGTCATGAAATGAGAATGAGAAATAGTGACAAGTTTTTGCCTAGTTACAGAATCATGGCAATTTGTCCAGGTTGAAGAGGTTGATGGCACAAAATAGTTGTTGGACTAAATATATCAACGTAGGCAAGATTTAAAAGAGTCAAAGGGCCAAGAGGAATGTAATCTTGAAACTGTATGCCCATCAAAGATCATAAGGAAAACTCCATTAAGTATGTTTGAAATGTAAATGTACACTTTTAACTATATGCATATTATATACATGTATATGCTTTTTTAAAAGGATAATCACTCTTTTCAAACATCTGGAAGATCCCTGAAACTAAATCACATACTCATTTATATAATTGTTGCTCTCTTTGCTACTAGGTTGTATACCCCTTCTGATCCATATCCTCCATGGGACGGACCAGGAGTCTGTCCTGGGTAACTTCAGGGGGAGCCAGAAGGCAAGAGACTGTGCTAGCACAGCCCTTCATAACATTGTGCATCTCAACCCTGATGAGAAGCGACGTAAGCAGGAGGGGCGTGTCCTTCGTCTCCTAGAACAGATAAGGACCTACTGTGACTCCCTGGTGGAGGCCGAGACTAAGGAGAGTGGTGAGTTACCCGGGTGTCTCTTTTTTTTCTGTCTTTACAGATGATGAAAGATATTAATTCTAAGATGTACTTGCAGCATGTCTTTGAAAAGGGAGAGTATGGTTACAGACTCTTCCCAACAAAACAGAAGAAAGTGTAGTATATTGACTATTTTTACTGTTATTGCTTCAATCAACACAAGTTTTACAAAATTCTAATATTTTGAAATTCTTTGTGTATGTTTTGTCCTAAAAAGTCAACTTCATTTCAATCCTCAAATTCTCCAAATCCAGTCGAGATTATTGCACCCATGTTGAGCAATTCTAATTGCAGTGTTGATGCTTAAAGAATCTAAATGAAGTAGAGGATTGAATGGAAGATTTTATCCCAAAAAATGTTTGTTGTAGTCAAATACCCTATACGTATAATGAATATACATGGTTACAATTTTTTTTTTTTTAAAGATGCCACAGTGACAGTGAACCATAATAATATTATTATTTTGATCTATTCTAGTTTCTAACCTTTATTCTGTAATTTTATCTTTGACAGCTTCAAGTCAGAATGCTCTACCAATCGATCACAATCCTGGTCCTGCCATGGCTGCTCTCATGAAGCTCTCATTTGATGAGGAGCATCGCAGTGCAATATGCCACTTAGGTAAGGGTCTTATCTATGGCACACCTTTAGAGATAAAATACCTCACCACTTTACTTATTATCATCTAGAAGTGATAGACTACTAACAATTAACACATGTTCCCATAGCTGACACTTTTAAAAGTGAAACAAGAACATGTCCGGAGTCTAGACATGTCCGGAGTCTAGACATGTCCTCATAGAGCTCTCATTTGATGTGGAAGATCACAGTGCAATTTTCCACCTTGGTAAGAGTATTATCTGCAGCACACCTTCAACTACTGGTTCATGTAGGATTTCACCTCTCACACTTTTAAAGACAAGGAGTGAGATTTTCAATGCCACCTGTGACCTCAGTAAATGGATCTTTCCATATGCATCCCTTCAGTACCACATGCAACGTTTTCCAACCTTTAAAATCATTTTTAAATATTTGAAGGGTGTAAAGGTTTATGAAGATTGCTCTTAATTAAATCATAAGAATACAAATTAAAGAATGTTTTTGTTTTGTAGAGTTTTGGGATTGTAGGAAGTGAATCATGATCAGAAAAGAAGTGGACATTAAACTTGTACCTTGGGGTAAATGTGGGCTCAAACTTTTTTTAATTTTTTTAATTGCATCTAAAGAGTAAAGATAAACTTTCAGTCTACTTGGAAATCTGAAAAGAAATGGAAAATATTAGATGAAGCTGTACAATTTTGAAGTGGGACCATTTTATATTGTTTGTTTTCCTTTCCTGCAAGTATATTACTTTGAAATCTATGGTTGACACTATTCACTGATGAGTGATACAAGTCAATTAATTCCTAAATTCTTACTCAGCCATCACTATGTTATTTGACTGTTTTATCAAATGTTCATTTAAAATCACCAAAACTCATTTTTGTTTTTCTTTTTCTTCATTACAGGTGGCCTTCATGCAATAGCTGAACTCTTGCAAGTAGACTATGAGGTTCACGGAAGCAGCAATGATCAGTACACGGTCACTCTCAGACGGTACGCAGGAATGGCCCTCACCAACCTGACATTCGGAGATGTCACCAACAAAGCCCTTCTCTGCTCCATGAAGGGGTGCATGAAAGCACTAGTAGCCCTACTGAGTGCTGAGAGTGAGGACTTGAGACAGGTAGCAGCTAGCGTCTTGAGGAATCTCTCCTGGAGGGCAGACATGGCCAGTAAGAAGGCTCTCAGGGAAGCTGGAGCGGTTGTTGCGTTGATGACGTGTTCCCTGGAAGTGAAGAAAGAATCAACCTTGAAGAGTGTCCTAAGTGCATTATGGAACCTGTCAGCGCATTGTACTGAGAACAAGGCAGACATTTGTGCTGTCAATGGTGCTCTGGAGTTCCTGGTGAGCTCTTTAACTTACCGAAGTCCCACTCGAAACTCAGCTGTTGTTGAAAATGGTGGTGGTATTCTACGGAATGTTTCGAGCCACATCGCAACGAGTGAAAAATACAGGCAGCTTTTGCGGAAACATAATTGTCTACAAATATTGCTTCATCACCTCAAGTCATCAAGCCTTACCATTGTCAGCAATGCTTGTGGAACTTTGTGGAATCTGTCTGCCAGGAACAAGGCTGATCAGGATCTCCTGTGGGAGCTAGGTGCAGTCAGTATGCTCAAGAATCTTATCAGCTCCAAGCATAAAATGATTGCCATGGGAAGCTCTGCTGCTCTGCGGAATCTCATGGCATCACGTCCTGATGTCTTGGCCACAGCAGATGGTCAGAAGGAGGGCACACCTGGACTCCATGTCAGGAAACAACGAGCGCTCCAAGCAGAGATTGATAAGAACCTCAAGGACACTTACGCCGAGATGGAAGGTAGAACTGACCAACATGGCTTGCTTCAAAGCCAACAGCGTGCCTCTCTCAGGAACCGGGGCCATAGATCTCGGCAGCAGCAGCACGGTCCCGACTACTCGCCTGTCCCTCAGCGTATCCCCATCTGGAATCCCAATGCCACCCCTTTACCAGATTCTCTTATGAACAGCCAACAGAGGGCGCATTCACCAAGCAATAGACATCATGGGAATATGATAAACTCACCTGAAACTTGTAGCGATGATCAATCCTTTCAAGAAGGGAAGACAAAAGACAGTGAAGGTCAAAGCACCAGCAGCCAGCCTGGATCTGTTGAGAATAGTCCTGGAAGACCCCACGGAGCAAGCAGGATAGCACAGGTAAGGAAGTCTCATTTAGAGTAGTCAGCTATAGTATAACAATACTTAATTTGAATACTTTACCCTCAAAAGATTGAAATTGGAACTATAGTTTTAATTTCTTTTGCTAATTCAGATCGGTATGAACTTCTTTTGAATGAAATTCTTGACCAATAATACCTGTACTAACAATTAGAATGTATCCCTGCAAGACAAATCAAAGTAATGGCAGCATACCTGTACTAACAATTAGAATGTATCCCTGCATTTAATAGCATTTATGGAATTATTGCTACAATTTGACATACTAATGCATAAATGTCATATGTTGTATTTATTTTCCAATCATATTAAAAAGACAAATAACATATGACATAAAACGAAATGAAACATAACAGAATTAAAAAAAAAAAATTACATGTGTATATAGATTGCTTAAAAATGATTGGCTGGATTGCCCGTTCAGTGTCATAAAAATATATGACACTGTTCTTCCTGGGGGTCCAGGTACAATTAAAAGAAACATTACGTAAATAGAAATTTTAAAAATAATGCACAAGCTGCTGAGTATAACACTTGCATGTCCTCTTTCGTGTTAACCAATGAAACAAAACAATTAAAAGCAAGAAAAGGCTATACATTTACAATTGCTGAGATTTGCGGATAATATGTCTTAAATACTAAAGTGAAAACATAATGAAGGCATTTGAATAAGTATATTTCATTGCAGATTCAGAAGCGAAGAGTACCTCTCTATCATTAAATTACTAATTTTATGATACCAGTGTAAAAATCCCATCTTGTCATATTTGGCATGATATATTAACTTTTTTTGTGAATAATAAACATAATACAATATTTCTTAAAAAACTGAAAATGACATGTATGAGAAGTTAATGTATGATTTTTTTTTTCCACTCTCATTCTTGAACACAGATCATGCAGGAAGTAGCTCAAGATGGTCTTCCAACTGACTCCAGCTCAGGCAGTGAGAGTCCACGTCGAGAGTCCCTTGAAAGCAGACTCCAATCTAGAAATGGCCACCAGCAAAAACCAACATGTCCTCGCTCTAGTTCTTTCACCCACATGCCACCAGAGGGCTCCAATCTTTCAAGTCGGTCCAACTCCTACTGCTTTGGGTTTGATGGAGGGCATGGCCTTGTGGCGAGGAGGTCATCTACAGAAAGCATAAACAGTATTTCTAGTGATATTTTCCCTGCTGGTATCCATGAACGATTGGCCCAGAATCGATCTCAGATGGATCATTCTCAATCGGCGGACAGCTCCCTCAACATGCACGGGACTGGGCGGAGCCTTCAGAACACTACAGCATTAGTGCACTCTGCAGATGAGGCTTTTGGTACCAACATGGACTCGACAACGAATTACAGTTTAAAGTATTCTGAGGAAGATCTTCCACCAGGGATGCATAGCCCCAAGAGAACAGCTCCTGTAGAGCATCGATGTAAAGATGGAAACTCGCAGCATAGCAGCGTTGATGGAGAGCAGAGTGAAGAAGGTTTGTCCCAGCCATGTCAAAAGTGCAATTCACCTCATAGACCTCGCGAAGGATTAGCCATAGGAAATTCTTACCCGGCCAGTCAACAACAGAGGCCATTCCCACAACAGTATTCAGACCAGTCAGTATCTTCTCATCACAATGTGATCGATCCAATGCAAGGATCAAGTATGTACTCAAACATGAATGACCATGAGCCTTTCGCAGAAGAGGATGAAAGACCCACTGACTTTTCTCAAAGATATGCAAATGATATGTCACATGGGGACGATGCAGAGAGTTTTGGTTTTGTCCAGACATCTTTGGAGACCAATACAGGTGGGACTGTGTACATGAGTAGCGAGGAGCCAGATGTGCGTGATAGTAGCTACAACGCGTCATCAAACCAGGAGATTCCTTCAAGTGTGGTGTCTCAGTTTGGATCAGAGCATGGAGGATCAAGGCACTCTATTGCATCAAGCCATCATGAGGATGAAGAGGAACCACCATGCAGCCATGATGACAACACGAAGACATACTGTGTAGAAGGTACCCCAGGCCCAATATCAAGGTGCTCCTCCCTCAGTTCTCTTGATTTAAACGAGGAACTGGATGAGGTTGAGAAAACTAAAGATGACAGCGCTCATTCACCTAGCAATGACCTGCAATCCACTACACCTCCAAATGAGCCTACTCCTGAAAAGGTGACAAATAAGCAAGTTTTGCTACAGCTTCCATCTGATGTTCACCACCATGACGAAGTCCAGGAAACCCCTCTGGTCTTTAGTCGATGTAGCTCCGTGTGTTCACTCAGTAGCGATGATGTCCCAGACATCTGTGATGATGTCAGCTCCATATACACCAATAGTCGTGCAGCTAGTGGTTTTGTGAGTCCCAGTGAGCTGCCAGACAGCCCCAGTGATACAATGCCACCAAGTCCTAGAAGAACTTCTCAGAGTAATGTCAAGGTAGATCTCCTAAATGCTCCCAAGCTTCCCGAAATGGAAGAAAAACCCACCATGTATGCAACTGAAGGAACGCCCATTGATAATTCCTGTGCTACAAGTCTAAGCGCTCTGACAATTGATGGCGATGTCAAAGCTACTGTTGCTAAGCGTCTTTTACCACCCAAAGGAAACGAGGGAAGTGAAAATGTAGGAAGTGAAGACAAAGAAATCACTGATGAAAAGAATGTTGAACCAAGTGGGAATGAGTTTTCGGAACAAGAGCAGAGTCTCTTAGATGAATGCATTAATGCAGCAATGCCAGTGAGAAGGAAGGGAATACCAAAACCAACAAAGTCCAAAAGTAAGAGGGAGATCACCAGCAGGAAGATACCTGTCAGTCACAAGCCTTCGTCCAGTAAGCATGTCAGTTTTGAGAAATCAAATGCTGCACCACCCACTACCATGCAGGATTTGCCGAAGCCTTTCTGTACAGAGGACACACCAGTGAATTTTTCTGCTGCTACTTCACTCAGTGATCTTAGCATTGATGACATTGAGATTGAGAGTTCATCAGATGGAAAACTAATGATTGCAAACCCAGACAGGAGTGCATTGGAGAAACCTAGCGGTATTGAATCAGACAATCAAGTACGAACCTCTGGGGATCTTTTGCATTGCATGGACGATGCCAGGTCTGAAACCAACTCTGTCACCAAGGAGGCAGAGGATTCCATGCTACAGGAATGCATCAACTCTGCTATCCCGAGATCCAAGTCTTGCAAGCCTCGTTCATCGCTGCTTGCAAAGCACAGATCACCTCGACAAATCGGAAAGTTCAGGTCGCCCAAAGGTGTTGCACCTCGAAAGAGACTGCCAAGTGCAGATGTGCGACACAAGAGCCCGTCTCCCATCCCTGAGATGAGCTCAGATACCAGATCTACTTCAAGCCAAGAACGAGGCCAGGACTGGGGTAACAATCCATCACCGCCTCCTGATACTGTTACCACATACTGCATGGAAGGAACACCTGGAATATCCAATGCTACATCCTTAAGTGACCTTACTTCTCCTATTGATTCTGAAGACGTCAATGGAAACATCACTTCTCAAAATTTACCTCAGAACAGAAGTACCTTAGGTGTTGGAGTCAGCAGGGGGAGTACTCCATCCGATACACCCCGTGTTTTTGCAGTTGAAGGCACACCCATCAATTTCTCATGCAATGGCTCACTAAGCTCTCTGAGCTGCGATGAGGATGCAGAACTTACTGAAGCTAAAGCCCAAATGAAGGAAGTGAGTAAAAGAAATCAAGCAGGTGGAGGTATGAGTAGACAACAGACTGTGATACCCAAGCAGAGAGCATCCTTCTCAAACCCGATAGAACAAGTTCAAAGTCCTGAAAACAAGTATTACAGCATGGATGATTACCATAATGCAGAAGCTTCTAAGAGTGCAATGTCCCCTCTTGACTCTCCGAGGGTGTTTGCTGTGGAAGGTACCCCTGGGATTATATCCAGGGCTGACTCTCTCAGTTCTCTCAGTTGTGATGAAGAGGATGCATCACCAGCGGTAGAAAAAAGTGCAAAAGAGAGACTTGCAGAAAAGACACGTACATCCAGGATAAGCGGTAGCAGAATGAATCACCTAGGTGAGGGATCTATGGCTATGAGGAGACTGAGCTCAGAAGAGGCACCTCTAAGCTATGCTGTTGAAGATACCCCAACTTGTTTTTCCCACAATTCAAGCTTGAGTGCATTAAGTGACAATGATGAGGAAGAGCGACCAGACCTTACTGAGCAGTGGCATGATGATGAAGAAAGTCAACCACAGAGGTCAAGTGGGGGTGCCAATGGAATCAACAAGGATTCCAGGAGGGTGTTTGCAACAGAAGACACCCCAGTCTGTTTTTCAAGAAACAGTTCTCTTAGTTCTTTGGATGCAGAATCTGATGGAGATGCTGCTAGTGAGCAGGCCTTGCTGGATGAGTGCATCACATCTGGCATGCCACAGTCAAAAGTCAAGAAGCCTGTCAAGAGGATAAATGGCAAGATTATTTCAGGTGGTCCATCATCTATGGAAGATGATGACAGTTCTCCAGCCAATCAGGAAAATGAACCAAAACCTGTTAGAAAGGGTCCTAGAATCACCAAACCCTCAGCCAGTGTGGAAGAGAAATCTGTTAATGAGGAAGAGGAGGGGCCAAAAGGAGTTAAAGGTGGCAAGAAGATCTACCGAAGTCCCATTACTGGCAAGATACGATCCATCACACCACCTAAGAGTGTACTGCCTCCTAAAAGTCCTTCATCAACTAGGGGTGGCCTTGCTAAGGGAAGTCCAACTACATCAAGAGGGAGAGGTGCTATTCGAGGTGCCAGAGGAGGTTTTGCTCGCAGTGCTTCGACCACTCCACCTAGGAGTTCCACCCCAACTGGTAGAGGAACTCCTCCCAGGACTACCACACCTCCTCGTACAACATCACCTATGACAGCAGGGAGGACCACAACACCTCCAAGAACAACTTCACCAAGAACAACTTCACCAAGATCTGGAACCCCACCAAAGCCTAAGGGCTCAATTGCCAATAAGAGTATTACCCCTGTGCGAAATGCCACAAATGGAGCCCGTAGCATCACGCCACCAAGGCCTGTCAGGAAATCCTCTGTTGATTCTCAAAAAGATGGGGATGCAAAGAGTGAAACTTCTTCACGTCGATCATCAAAAGAAAGTATCAGTAGTATCCCTAAACCTAGACAAATAAAGCCCCAGAGTACTCAAACCAAAACCTCACCCAACAGTTCAACCTCGCCCAAGCCACCTTCAGGTCGTGGTTCTCCTGCTGGAAAACCTCCACTCAGCACAAGTAGATCGTCAAGTCCGAAATCAAAGATGCCAGTGCCTTCAAGATCAAACAGTCCTTCTACAAAATCATCTGGTTCTGTCACTACTCCAAGAAAACCTCTGAACAAAAGCCCATCTAGCACCAAAGCTAGGGATGAATCTCCTACTGATGCTGAGGAAGTGACTTCACAGATGAAAAGCATGAATTTAGAAAGTAATGGAAGTTCCCCTGATTTAGATGATGGTGATCGCCCAGTCCTGCTCAAACAATCAACATTTACAAAAGATAGTGCATCACTTCCTGAACAAACCCCTGAAATGAATCCTGTAAGTGGAGATGAGAAGGTCCTGTCTCCTGTGCAGTCAGAAGAGGCCCCATCAGTGACTGAAAGTGAATCCAGTGTGTCTTTGTCAAAAGGTGGATGGAAGAAGACTGGTAGTGGCATCCAGGGGTCACAGGAGAGTAAAAAATCTTCCACAGGAAATAAACCAGTCAGTAAGACCACTGGTGTCTCAAAGATTACACCAAGGAGGACCGGTTCCCCAGGACTGAGGACACCTGCTGCAAGGTCCTCATCTCCTGGCCAAAGGGTAAATACACCTGCAAGGAGGTCAGAGTCGCCTTCTAGAATGTCTTCTACATCTCAGCGCTCAGAATCTCCTTCCAGAGCATCAACAACTTCACAAAGTTCAGTGTCAAAGCAAAGGACTACTCCACAAACAAAGGGACCAGCATCCACGCAAAGGAATAATTCTGCTACTTCCAAGATCAACACAGGCCTACAGAAGTCTGGTGGTATGAGTAAAAGATCAGCTTCCCCATCAGGGGTAAAAACAAATCCAAATGTGAATGGAACCCATGCCAGTACACCCCCAAAGTCTACAGCCAGCAGACCTAATACAAGACCAACTAAATCTGGCAATGCTGGAGTCAGAACAGGTCCTCCAACTACCAGGGTAGCCTCTGCTAGTCCCAAACCCTCAGGTGCCTCTGCAAGAGCAGTGCGCAACAAACCAGCAAGTAGGCCTTCATCTGCAGAAGGGTCCAGGTCACTAAGTGGAAATAATTCATCTTCCAAGGAGACCCCTTCTCCACAAACACCATCCAAATTTGGCACATTCACAAAAAAGAAAGCACAATCCAGTGTTGAAACATATGACAAGAAAGAAACAGAAAGAAATTCAGGAGAGAGTGACAGTGTGAGTAAAAGTGATCTTTCATCTGATGATCAGAAAAGTTCACAGCTGAAAGCCAAAGATTTGTGCAAGGAGCTGAACATACCTGTAAAAAACTGTGGAGGTAAAATTGTGTCTCCAACGCGTGAGACTGCAGAAGGTGATGGTATCTGGATGAAAAGGCCTGAAGATGAGGTAAAGGACTGTGCATCTGTCAGTATTCACTCTTCATCACGTCACAGCAGCTCATACAGTTTGAGCAGCATTTCCACCAATCATCAGGTTGGTAGCCTTTCTCGACAGAAATCAGCCCAGCCTGAATTACCTAGCTCAAAAAAGTCACCAGCAGTCAATACAAGGAGAAATATTTTTTCATCACTTAATAAAAACTCTAATTCCAAATCATCCAGTAAATCCAGTCTAGACTCATCGAAAAGTGGAGGCAAATCAACACCTAAAATGACATCCAAGCAGAAGCATGAATCAGAAGCAAAACCAGAAGAGAAAAAGGACAAAAAATCAGAAAAGAAGAGATTTTCTTTTCTCAAATTGAAAATTGGTGGAAAGAAATCTGACAGTGACAGTGAAGGAAAGGGAAAGAGCAAAGGTTTTTTCTCCAAGAAGGAAAAAAAGTCGCCAAAAAACTTGAAGGTTCAGACCAAGAGCAGGAGTGAATCAGATTCAATGGCTGAACACGTCCTTCCAAGCCCTCCACTTGCTGAACTAGAACCTGATCTTAATATGAGTGGGGCTGATCTGAACTTTGACAGGCATCTGGATGAGCTGGAGGCGTGGAATAGTGACAATGATATTGACAATGAAGTTATGCCTGATGAGTTTGTTGAATGGGACAGCGGTAGCGATATCTTTAAAGAAGAGATGCCGGAGGAATTCATTGAAAGCTGCTCAGAAGTAGACACCGATCCTGCTACTCCACTGAGTCCTGGCGTTACAACTGGACCGGGAGGAGGTAACATTCAGATCGACCCAAACAGACAGCGGGGAGGCTTCTCCCCACACTCTGAAACTGGTAGCCTTTCCCCAAACGGGCTATCGGGGGACTGTATGTCCCCCGTAGATGAGGGGGATCTTTCCATGGAAGCAGAGGAGCAGTACTTCTACTCTGAAAACAGACTCAATTCTTTCATCCGTCTTGATGACACTAAAGGTGAAACGAGTGACACGTTCGGTGAAGGAGAGCTGAGTATAAGTCGGAATGTCCAGAACCAGCGTAGCCGTAGCCTATCAGACACCGCCGTCGAGCAATCACCACACAGACCTCAGAGGTTAAAGCTCCCCCAGAAACCATTTGGTTTCCATCAGAACGACGCTTCTCCATCTTCCAACAATGTCGTACCTGTCTTGGTATCGCCCTATAACTACAGTCCAAACCCAAATCGGAAGGGGGAGATCGACACCAACTATTCAGGGATGGGGTTTCACAAAGACGATAGCAGTCGGAGTAGTTCTGAGGTTGTTAGTCCTACAGGATCTACCAGAGTAACTACAGTATAGGAACTTATTCTCTGTATTTATACTTTCAAATGTTTGACATCCTGCCCTTTACAATGTTTTTAGATTTTACAGATACACGTAGAGTTTATCGATGATGCTTTTGAGCAGCTCTGTTTTTCTTAACAACTCAAGTCAAATGAAGCAGTCATGGGACAAAATATTATACCTAGAAAAGTTACTGTTCTTATTATTTTTGTGGCAATGTCTATTTTTACACAATTTCTTTTCTCTCTTTCCCCATTGCACTTGTGAAAATGTCTAAATATTTTTAAGGTCTTGATATATGGCTACCCAATATTATGGTAGCTGATTTAAAACATGATTCACATTCATCATCAATTGATTACCGGTATATTTCATTTTGTACTTCAAAACTCAATTATTTAATTAGATAGTGTCAATTATTCATGATATCAATTAAGATGTTTTACAACTCCTAACAATTAATTTTGCAAAATATTTATCGAATGTTTGTCTTATCTCACATGGAGGACAATCAACCCATTTCTTTGTATACTTGTTTATGATATCTTCACATACATAAAGTTTTCCAATATTTGTTAGATGTATGTACACAAATGCCAACAATTTGTTTAGTTTACCTTGTATGCAATCATTTTATTGAAAAGGAAAGAAATCTAAACAAAGCATCGGCTGTCAATGTAATAGAATATATCTGTTTGTATCTATGCAAATGAAAATACAGTAAAATCAGAAACTTTCCCAACATGGAAACTTTGCGAAATGTTGAGGATATCAATCGAACCCGTCACAAATTTTACAAACATTTCATGCACGCGAAAGTTTCTGGTGTTACAGTAAACGGATATGTGACAGAAGCACATTTCAATCCGTGCATGAATTATGTTATTTATTGCTGAGTAGTGCTTTTTCATTTGAGGTTTATAACGCAAACCATTTACTTGCTTTGTCAGGCTTTATTTTGATAAGTTAGTATAGTGACTAGTGACAATGAACAATCATTTGGTTCTGTTCTCAACGAAGAGAAGAAAGTTGCCGAAGCTTAAGTTTACGATCTTGATGTGCCCCATGCGCTTACTGGAAGACCAACTTGAAGTATATCTACTATTATCATGTGATGTAGTGTCAATATTTTGTACATGCAAATTATTAAATATTTGTTTTCCAAGTGCAAGTATTTTCTTTGTTTCAACTTTAAATGCTCTTCAATGGAGTCATAGAACTGACCTGATTAAGTACTTCATTTTATTCAGTGTAGAGAAAGAGGAAGGAGAGAAACTATACGCAAAATACATGTGCAATGTGTCGAACTAGATTTGATTTGCTAAATTATTTTTGATAGCATATCTCTGTACATCTTGTATCATGTAACTTATTTTGAGACAAACATTAGGATGGTATTCAGTCTGTTTAATGTTAGGTATTCACTTATTTATAGGATAAACATATTGCAGTATTTTTGTAAAGTATACTGGCTTGTATACTTAGATATACAATTGAAAATGAAGGCAGAGAACAGGATTATTAGGTATTCACTCTTGTCTATAGTATTCAGGGGAATGTTTTGATTGTAGCAAGAGACATTTATATATTAGATTGACTCAGTTTTGTAAGGATACCCAGGCCCAACTGAATGGCCACAACAATACTGTGCAATATGTCTTGTTTGATTTCTGTTTCTTACTCATTTGTTTCATCCGAAAATGAAGAAAAAAATCTATTTCTATGACCATTGAAAGTTGTACTTATATGATCTTTTCATTTTTATATGGATAAAAGTCATATGTGAAACAGGGCACATTGCACAGAATTGCCTTTTGCTTCAATACTTTAAAGACATACACACATGTAATGATATACTTAGGCTATATGAAAATAACCATTTATTGTAATTGTTATTACAAAGGGATAACATCTTGTGCTATTAATGATTCGTTTTCTTGCCTGATTATCATGTTTCATATCAAGTTTGCACTAATTATTACAAAATATTTGAAAAACATGACTTTTAGAGTAGTTATCTTAATGTGACCTTCGTAACCATCCATATGTGTAAAGTGTAAACTGATTTTATGATTTTGATTCAATTCTAATAACAACGTGGATTACACGTAAGTTTGACGATAATCAGTAATAGCATTAGTATTTGTTTCACTTGACCCTTATTCAAGAATTATTTATACACATGTTTATCATGACTAATGAGTTAGTGGTATACTTGAACAACTCTATCATTTTACTTTTAATTACTAGTTAGAAGGTTGACTTTGCCTTTTCCAAATGATTTTTTTGTATGACTACAATGACAAATCTTTGTTAATACTGTCATTTGCCTTCAAAATCATTTACAGGACTTGTCGTTTATGGATGTTCTGAACCTTTGGTCCAAAGTAGACATATTTTTGTGAGTTTATTCAACTTTATTTGTAAATCCATTTTGAAATACATTTTAATGAGGTAATACATACAATGCAAGTCAATGAATACCTGGTGCTTACTAATGCATGGAGCGAGTGTAATCATGTAAATAATTAAGAATTCGAATGTTTGTCTTTGAGAAGGACTGTTACATTCAAGTAAGTTCCCACCAAAAATCAACTTGCCAATAAAAAATATAGAAAGAAGTGAACTTTTGAAGAAACAAACTTAGAAGGGGAAAAAAACTTGTGTAGATAGAACAAATATTGCTGCATAATGTTCGTCTGTGTCTGAAGAATTGTGTATTGATTTCACATAGTACTTCAATGTAACATAAGTTATTGGAACTTTTCATAGATGAAAATGTAGGGAAATCTATGTGCAAGTTTGAGGAGGTTCTTTTGTGACGTATTGCACAGGCTTACATTGAACGTGTGTAGCCAAGTGCAAATTGAAAGTTTCATACAGCTCACAGAAATTAAAATATAGAAGAATTATAAGTATGAAAGTGAGATTTACCTTTGTAAATGTAGAGATATTTTGTAACCAAAGACAAACAGTTCTCTAGAAATTGTAGAAAAGTTAGCTTACTTTGTTTTAAAAGTAATTATTCTATTAATCATGTAAAAGAAAGAAACATTTTGTGCAAGGAATAATATCTATGTTCGAACATGTATGAGGAAGTTACACACAAAAAAAGTTTTTTCTTCAGAAAGATGATTTATATTTACAGTACTCTGTGTTTAAAATATGTCCATGAATGTCTTGTAAAGAGAAAGTTAAAGTGAGAAAAACTAAAGCGTCTTAGGCTGCTCATTTTTGTCGTTCGTTGAATGTATAAAATGAGATGAAATAAAGATATGTGATTCAGGAAAAAAAATGTTCACTTCCTTTTTAAGTAGTTATTCAAAATATATAAGTAGCTTATATTTTGTAGATACGAGACCTTATTTTCCATGCATACTTATTGGAAAATGTGTTTTTAGTTTGGGCACTGTTTCAAACGTCAAGGAAGAGGGGAGATGCTTACAGGTTGAAGGGGAATGTTAACAGAAAGAGACATATCAAAGATACTGATAGATTAGAGAGAAGGGGAGGGAGAACAAGGAGAGAGAGAGGGGGTGTTGGTGAGGGGATGAAGGAGAGAGAAAGAGAGTCGGGGAGGGAGGAGAAAACGAAGAGAGAGAAGTTGGTGAAGTATTGATAGAACTCGCGTGAACAAGAGGATTATGGAATTATTCTACCAAGGGTGTGGGGTATCGCATGTATTCTTATTATCTCTCTCTCTTCTCTCTCTCTCTCTCTCTCTCTCTCTCTCTCTCTCTCTCTCTCTCTCTCTTTCTTCTTCTTCTTCTTCTTTTCGATTTTAGTCTTTTATCTTGAAATTCTAAGCCATAATAATGCCAGCAGGTTACATGAGGACATGAAAAAGGGAACATTCAAATAAAGGTAATTGCATTTATTCATGTGTTTAACATTCTTGTTCCCCTTTTTTGTTATATTGCCAAGCGGTTTAGTACTTATTACACGTTATTATACAGTGTAGTCGTTAAAATGATTAAATAAAACAAAATATATCTTGATTCCAAGATGGTAGGTGAATTCAAGGATTAAAATTATGCTCTCGGAGGCTGTGTTGTGATGTATTTTGAAGCGTTGGAATAATCTCTTGATGTTAGATCAGGTTTCTGCTACATATCCAAATCCCTGTATTTAACGAAAAGACATGATACCAAAGAAGAGAAAAACATTATGATTGAGTCAAGCTCCAATTAATTTCAGTTTACGTGGGAGATTAGAAGTGACTTTGAACATTCATTATTTCTGGGGGGGGGGGGGGTATTAATTCAGTCATTTTTCTTGGACGTAAATTCGCAACATTTGCCTTTAACTGGTTACGGCTCAAACTGACAAAGAAGAAATCTAAACAAACATACATCATACTAAATCTAATGTAGATTGACATGAGAATAGTCATATCGTCAACAAGCACCAAATATTTAAGACTTTAAAACTGAAATGGCTATAATTATCCAGAATTTATTTAGATGTTGGGCTAATATTTTGGTTATCACCAAGTCTTATGTTGACCTTTTGCAACTTCGAAACTGGATAGTCAGTATTCCAGTGAATTAACCGCACTTAAATGATTATATTATAGTGGATAGTATTTAAGAAAGATGAATATAGAACAAACTAATAAATAAATACCGGGTAGATAAATTAATAAACAAATAAATGAACCATTTAATCAATCAATATATCTATCAATCAATCACTAAATAAATACGTATATTAACAAATAAACAAATGAAAAGAGTATTAAAACATAGGCCTACCCTTGAATAGATAATTGTCTGCGGGCTTTCATTCTCATCTGTCGTAGTTTCTTGTCATTTAAACATTCCTCCTTTGAAAAAGTTTCCGTTGGCTGTAAATGTTATTCAGATGTGCAATAATTGAGTAAGAGATGAACTAGATTTGTTTATTTAATAGAATAATAGTTTTCATGTGATTTAACTAGGAACAAGTTATAAGATTTTTTTTTTTAAAGATTCTCAGTAAATATCACGGTGCAATATGTTGAGCGACCGGAGATATTATGGTCATAATGAAGGATGGAAAATTACAGCATAATGCACGGGAACTTTGGGTTGCTGTTTTTTTATTCCAAAGTTGCACATTACCTTCTCTAAAAAATCGCTCGCTCCGGTAAAAATTATTTTTAATAATCTTGCAAATGCGGTATTGAAACTAAAATCTTCATTTCCTACCAACTTTTTCTTACTTCGTAATCTTAGATAAACACGTCATATTCTGATAAAATCTTTTTAAAGTAGTAAATTTTCTTAGTAGCCCTACACAATAAATTATCTTTCCAAAACTGAAAGGATGTAATAATATTGTGCGTTTTCACTAACCTTTTTTGATTGTGGCTCCTTTTTCCTGCCATGAAATTTCTTGATCAGCATTTGTTCCTGAACTAGTTTGACAGCATCACGCATGCGCTCTTTGTCTGGGTCCACACTACTTGATCGAAACTCCATCTCCTCTTCTTTGATTCGTCGCCTCCGTTCCTTTGCGCATGCGTCGTCAGCCATCTTGCTGTTCCGACTGCGGTGGGGCGGTGGGGAATGGGGGAGAGAAACGAAGAATTTTTTTTTTTTTTTTTTTTTTTTTTGTTTTTTGTTTTTTGTTAATGGTATTTAATTTATCTCTGATGATGGAGCCAGTATCATAAGGAAAGAATTTGGTAAAGCAAGAAAATACATTACAATTATATTGCGTGTTATACATCATGATTAAAAAGTATATTATATAAATGCATGGTATACTAAAAAGTTCATCAAAATTATATTAATCTATTTTTTCATTTCTTTTTTTAAGTAATCTGCCTTACTTACACATTTGTTTGGAAGTCATGCAAGAATTTGAAAAATAAATGTCTGTGGTGTAATATACTTTGCTCGATTGTTGGTTTGTATTATCATGGATGTTTGCATTTGTGCTATTATCCAGTAAACGTTATAACTTAAGCCTCGGTCACAAATTCCATTACGAACTGCTACGAACGCCGTACGAACGATTTTCAGACAATAGAAATTCGGGAAGACAATGGAAAAGCAGGGAGATTCGTACGAAATTATCATTCGTACGAACCTTTGTGACCGTATAATAAATCAGATACCTGAAATTTGCGACTAAAGAAATATAACGATTCGTGCGATTGATACCCATCCCCGTATAGCATAAAACTTTAAGAAGCAAATGATGACATAATTAATATGTAGGCTTGATTAAGATGTGATTATACTATTATATTATATCATGGCGGCAAAAATATATTTCAGGGCCTGGTGTCAGAGACAGTGGCGGAATCAGGGAGGGCCGGGCCCCTTCCCCTGGGAAAGAACAGGTAAAAGCATGTTAATTTTACCTTTATTTGGAAACAGGCCCCCTCCCCTGGTGCTCAAGGGGGGGGGGTGCGATTTTTAAATTTTCGAGGGCAATTTTTTTTTTTTTTTTTTAAATTAGTGCTTATCATCGCGCTTTCTTTATTTTCCCCGCGTTTCGCCATTTTATTGAGGGAGCCAGGGAGCGGACACTAATTACGTGGCAACGCCCCTGGACTGTGTATTCTGCTATGTGCATTTGAACTTACGAGTGAAGCAGTTCTTCTAGAGCTCCCCCCATCCTAACCTCAGCGTCAGCCCGAGTTGTTTCGTCTTTTTCTGCTTCTGCCAGCTAGCAATATGAAATAAAACATGGAAATAATTTCGCTGTAAAAGGGAGAGGAAGAGGAGCCAAAAAGAAGGTCTTTTGACTTTTCCTTCAGATATTTGTTAGTAAGAAAATATATAATTGTGCATTTATCAAGGTCTCTCTCTCTCTCTTTCTCTCTCTCTCTCTTTCTCCCTCCCTCCCTCCCTCCCTCCCTCCCTTTCTCAAACTCACACACTTTATGATGAAAATGCAAAGTAGCAAAGCCGTTCTCTCTCTCTCTCTCTCTCTCTCTCTCTCTCTCTCTCTCTCTCTCTCTCTCTCTCTCTCTCTCACACTCTTTTTAGGGCATGTTCCCTTCCCCCGTAACCCCGTAGCTACCATGCCACTGTTCCAAACTTACTTGCACGGTGGCAAACGTTCGAGTGAGTTCATCATGCATCGTATCCTTAGTATCCATTGCCCTTTCTTTTAGCGGGTCGCTCTTGCCTTCATTCACGAAGTTCTCGATTTCCTGAATGCGACGTCGACGTTCTTTCTCTTCCTGTCGCAAAATGATTAATTTGTAAATTGATTATGAAAACATGGTCGCAAAAATAAGAGAACATCAACTTAAAGGCAATTTAAAAACTACCTGTATAATCCATTAAAATTATGTTAGGATTACATAATACGTCATTTGATGGCGTTGATGAAAATTATTGAGAAACCTTACCAAACCCGGAAGTTTCATGAGATGTGTGGTTCGTTTGAACGACAGCACGAATTCGTCCTTGAGCTCACGAAACAGATCGTCCACTCCGTGTTCGACCTCGTCATGGACTTCTTCGAGGTCGTGGAAGGCACCCAAGAGTTCGGTCTCGACGTTGTGCCGGGTTTTGGCCACGTTCGACATCGTCGTGACTTCGGCGAGGAGACCTTTGTCGGCTTGAGACTTCAGAAGAAAATTGAGTAGACAAAGTAAATAGATTACTTCACAAGAAAAAATAGGCCTAAGAACGCAAAAACACAGAAGAAGAATTATAAACATGATCGCAAAATAAGACCGGTTTAATAGCATATTCAAATTTTATGCAATTTTTTAAAACAAAGGTTGTTCTTTACAATCTAAAAGCTTGCCCGAGGCTTTCCGACATGGCAACAAGTAATGTATGTAGACTGGACTCCAAGTATAGTAGTTCATTATGACATGTTAATGACATAACTCGTCACTAGGTCCCCAGGAAAGAAACATCCCTTAATTTGAATATGTTAGTAAACCTGTATATCTCCATACCCTGTCGTATATCGTATGCATATCATGTTCGGAGTATGTGATATGTCGTCATGATCTATGTCCGTGAATTTGAAAAAGCTGATGGACTTGGCTAATAGAATTATTTTATTACTATTTCGAAAAAGTCTTTACAAAGTTATTTAAAAAACTTGCTTGTCTTTATTTATGTCCATGCTTGTCATCATCCCTTTAATTATTCGACAGTCTTAACTCTTTTAATTACTTCACATTTTCTATCCCCATCCTTGTTCCTCCAAATTTCCCTTCCCGAAATTAGTATAAAAAAAGGTAACTGCGGTTTTATTGATCGTTTGAATTTGCTTTGGAAATATGCATATATCGGTGGTGTGTGTAGCATAATGGTTAAGCTTGCGTTTTCTTATCCATCTCCTGTTTATAAGGAACGAAAAAAGGGATATCCATAAACCCGTGGCTCCCCCCCCCCCCCCCCCTCCTCCCATATCATCCAAATGCTCCCTCAATAGATGGACTCAGGCTACACCATGTTTGGGCCTGTATGAGTGGTTCTAACCTTATCAAAATCGGTCACGTCTTCCATCCTATGCATACGCCACTGTCTCTCCTCCTCTTCAGCATTCTCCATCTCTTTCAGATGGTCAGTATGAAGAAGCTGATCCATGACAGTATCCAGTTTCTCTTCTACTTTCATAACCATATCTTTATCCTTCTTTTTCTCTGCTTTCTGCTCCCCCAAAAATGAGTATAATTATAGAGAAGCGAGAGCCCATTGAAATCGCAAATATTATTCATATAATGTGTTCATTATTAAATTGGTTTATCAAATCTGCGATTTCTCTTTTATGCTTAAGATAAATTATACTTCACTTGAATATTCATTGAATTTTTGATGATGTGCAGCATTTCTTTATCTTAAACACCGTCACTTTGTTTATGTCAACTGCTCATGAAAAATGTCTTTATTAATTGAAAGTTGCTTCAGACTTTCTTTCTTTGTATGAAAGAATCTGAGAGAAACGTCGAAAATATTTTTTGGGGGACTTCAAAGATTAGCAGTTTAATTGATTAAAATTTAGAAAATTTCTTTTTTACTTCAGTAAAAAAATAGCCCATGGAAGGCTAAAACAAAAGTTTCTCACCATTGACTTCATTTCATTTCATGTTTAGAAAAGGAAATAAAGGCTCGTTAGCGACCGTTTACTGCAAAACTGGACAAAAATTAGTACCTTTGATTTGTGGACAATCGATTTGAGTTCTTTGTTCATTGGGGTCAAGACAGTGCTTGCGCGTCTCATGTCACGTGATTCTTTCTTGACACGCCTCTCTTGTTCAGCATCGACGGCCCTGGTAGGACATAGAGAGAGTGAGCGAGAGAGTGAGTGTGTGAATACATCAAACGTCAACATTATGGCGACATTAATTTTGAGCAATCTGAGCAAACGACAGGTCAGTTATTTTACTCATCTACGTGTCTGATACTTTCTGTTGTTACTTCTCTGTCTCCATTTTCAACAACAAAAACAACAAATAAACAAACAAACAAACAAATCGGTAAGGCACAATATTATTCCGTACTCTTCCATTGTCATATCGAGGGGATAAAAGGATGAAGAATGTAGCACTGGAATCATTGGAAGACATTGGCATGACGAGGCAGATGAAAAGCGAAAAAACGAGGGATCTTAATATCTTCTTTTTACTTTCGCTTTCCCATTCCTCTCTCTGATTCATTCTTTCTTTTTATCTTTTTCTTTCCCTATCGCCATTCAATCGGAGCAAACGTGCACCAATGACACATGTGGCTACGCCATCCCTAATATTATCAGCCCCCTTTTACTTACTCTCTTCTCCTTTTTTTTATCCATTTCGCCATTCAATGGCGGCAAGGGGGACATGTGTCACCGCGACCCCTGTATTAAACCACGTCACTCCTAAAACCTCGTTCAGATATCATGGATTATACGGTAAATCGCGAAGCTTTTTTGTCTTCAAAATGACGTAACGCTTGACGTTTCTGCATATTTCAAACCAATGCACGTAGAAACTTTGCTAAGCGCAGTTGCCATTCATTTTCTCAATACCAAAACAAACAAAAAACACCCCAAAAACTGCCGCGTTTTACTGCTTTATATCCGATAGCCTCCTTACTCATTGACTGCTTGGACGGTGAGTTTCCTCGTCGTATGTTCCATGAACAGTGGATCGGACCCGTCGTCCTTGGCCGGATCGACTCCACCGACCTCCCAATGGTGACCGTCATAGAAGTGATGATCCTGCTTCGTCTGAACGGAACGCCGTCTGGTCGATAACTTAAGCAAAGAAAAAGAGAACATAGAGCGAAAATGAGTGTATCTACACTTTTTAAATTGATACACTGACTTTTTTCTTAAACATGCCCTCATTTATATTTTAAAATGTTAAGAAGTAGCAGAATTAAAAATACCAGATCAGTTGAATTACTTAAACAATCTTTAAAAAGTACTTTTTTAATTTGGCTTACAATGAAGCCGAATCTGTTCTTTTTCTTTCTTTTTTCTCTTTCATAATGTTATATCCTACTCAAATAGTACTTTCGTGTATATTGTGGATTTGGCGCCTTGAATTTCAAAGCTTATTAGTAGTACCACCAGAGGGCGTACCGGAACATTCAGAATGTGAAGAAGAGTGAGGCACTAGCGTATAAGGAGGGGCAATGAAGAGGGACTTTCCATCCTGACAAATTTCCAACAAAGAAATAAAAAGGCAGTCTCATTTTCAAATCATTTAAACGTTAGCAGTTTAAATATTCTTTTATAAGCCAACAGTTGAAGATTTCTTTTGGAAACATAATGAATACAGTTATACAGACCCCGTATAAGAATTAATACTCGGCTGCAATGACGCTAAGCATAATAATTATGTTATGAAGCCCAACTGGAAAACTTGATACTGGGAGCACCGGGTCCTTGTTTATCTCTAGAACCCGCAAAAAAATTGAAATTGTCTTTCTGAGCTACAGTAAATCCTTTCTTCTTATCAGATATTTCTCTCCCCCTGCCCCCCCCCCCCCCCCGCCAGATACTCTAGATCCTTGATCCGCCAATGACGAAATATAACTTTGACCGTTCTAACATCACACAAAAATGAAGAAAAGGTCTTGTTTGAAGCCAGAGTGAACTTGAACAGACCAATTTTTTGAGAACAAAAGCATTGATTTTTGTCCATGGATCTTCAAACATGGGGAATCTAAGCCAGCTACATAAATTATGTTGAATGTTGGCGCCACTCTGCTGGAATGCCCATGTATAATAACATTATGTTCATTCATATAGCGCTCTCGCACAATAATGGTTTCACAGCACTTTAGATGGTATAAAAGTGGGGAAATGAATAGCAACATACCTCATACATTCCTTGTTTTAAGGGCAGCCGGTGTTTGAGGTGTCTTTTGAGTACTTTTTCCCGGACCTCGTCGGCCTGACTCATCACGAACTTCTTTTCGTGTTTCTCCTCGTCATACTGAAAGTCGCTGGTGCTAGAGCTTGTTTCCCTGAGCGCCTATGGTGCAGCGATCGATGAAATGAAAAGAGAAGTACGTGAGAGAAAGAAAAAAAAATGAGAAAAAGAGAAAAATAGACAACAGAATGAAATTTCTCAAGTTAGCTCATTGATGACTGACAGATGATGTCATAAGGGGAATGAGATCTGGAGGATTTTAAGGGTGGAGCTTAGCAAGTTTGACAAAAAAATCTTTCAAAAAATCTTTAAAGCTCTATGAAACACATTCAAAAGATTAATGAGATGTATAGGCAGGACTACACGCCAAAAGGAATAAACTTGTATTTGGATGGCATGGTCCCTTTAAGCCTTTTGCCTATAGAGCGCCTTGAGTGTTAGCGGTTGATGGAATGGTGAAAAGGTGAAATAAGGGAAAAGAGGCAACAGCAAGGTATGTAATATGTATTTAATATCGTTAGAGTAAAGTGTATTATTTTTTAGTTTTTTATATTGAAACTGGCTCCTCATGAACCCATTCGTGTTCCTTTCCTCGTCATACAGAAAGTCGCTTGTGTTTGATTCTTTAGTCCGGAGAGCTGGATTTAATGATTGAAATGCAAGGATGAAATTAAAAATAAGAGAGAAAGAAGGGGGGAGTATTTCTTGGATTCAGGCCTGTATTATTACGAACATTTTTTTTAAAAACAATAAAATCTCCTTAGAACTATAAGCTAAGAAAGATAACCAACATTCTTTTTCAAGACTATACCAACAGTCCTTTTCAGGACTAACAAACCCTCAAGAAAGATTACCGAGTCAGAGCCCTTTTCAGAACTCCTCAATCCTCCCTCTCTCTCTCTCTCTCTCTCTCACAAGGTGCACCCGCAAGCCTACGGTATAAAAAGATCAAGTTCACTATTTTATTTTTTAGGAAGCAGTCGAGTCATGGGACCTATGCCTGCTAAGTGGATTTGTGTGTTACGCCATCTTATGATCACTTTTGATCAAACTGCTTCAAGACGTATCTCTATAATAGACCACTTTCGTAATGTAATCTCATTTAATGCATAAATCTTTGTTAAGTGCTATTCATTCACCTGTTACAAATTATTGTATTTAAATAGTCAGTCAATACGAATTGCACACATTGATTGTTGCTACATGTAAGTGGGATAAACATTATAATAGCTTGTCCTGTCTAGCAACATGTAATGTATGCAATTCGCATTCTTACAATTGAAATACAAATTATTCGAAACAGGCGAGTGAAATAATTTGAAACGAGGCACTTACAAAAGGAGATGTGCATTTAATATAATTTCATTTCGAAGATGGCCTATTCATCGCGTATTTTGTATTGTATTCAATTTGTTACCTTTGTGTATTGAAGAAGAAAAAAAGATCCACATGAAAATGTGATGACAAATTTTCGTTCTTCCCTTCTTTCCTTTTTTCTTCTTCTTTCCTTCATTTTTATTCGTGTTTTTTCTTCTTTAATTCCCCCTTCCTTTTCTTAGCTATTTATTTCTTGTCAAATAATATTTGATTTTCTTTGAAGCAGCCCGTCCCGTCCCCCCCCCCCCCCCCCCCGATACAAGAAAAAGAAAGTAGACATGTACATTATCTGCATCGACAAGACAGTGTCAGCTCATGGTGTTCCATCAGATTATAAACATACGCTATAAAGTTTTACTATATAATTCTGAAATCATACCTTATTTTCATGCTCGACTTCCGACGCCATCTTTTGTTTGGACTAATTTTCTTCCAGTTTTAAATTGAAATTGTATTCTTTAATCTTCTGTTTAAACCCGTGTGTAACTTAACGTGTCTGTTGTTATGATGAATTTGTGGGGGCAAATTAATCAGTACAGTCTATGGGCATCTCAATGCGCATGCGCATGTTTATTATGAATGCGCGCTCGTTGATATTGTTGCGTAATGAGCGTACCACAGAGACACATGTATGACGTCACAATGATACACCTGTATAGCGATTGTGCTGTTATCACAATTATGGAACTCAGTGAAATGATGGAAAAACAAAAACTCTGTGAATATAATAGTGATTAATATAAAAGAAAAATTATCAACACATATTTTCAAAGGAAAATAAGGCTTGTATTTCATTGAGTTAAGGGAAATCCATCTTATTAGCAAGTAGCCCTACAGAAATCGCAAAAGTCAGAGAAGCAGTATTGTGAAAGTTTGAAAAACTGAACAAAATCACAAG